AATAAGGTTATACGATCAAATAATAAAAACTTGTAGTTTTACACAATCATAAACTAACTTTATAGTGTGTGCTTTAAACTTTAGAACGGCATCTTAATTAACGTTAATTTCATATGATATTAAAATAAATAATTTTCAATATTATTGTGTTATTTATTTAGTACATTTTTATTCCAAATACAACAGACAATAATTTAATCATAAACATAAATCACGTTTTCCACGTAAACCTTATTTAATAAATTATTTATTGATAATTTCTTTGTCTTTTATTTACCTTTATTCAATAAATTAGCTGCTATAAATATGTGAGAAATAAACTCGTGTGAAACTAATTTTCGAACGGCACGGCGGACCGGTCGGGGGTGTGGCCTGAGTGTGATTTATGATCTCCGAAGGCTCCTGATTGGCTGATCTAAAACCGTTCCCGTGCGGTTATTATAAACATTTCGGAAAAATTTTATTAGAAAAATCGCTTCAGAATAATGCATCCTACAACCCTATAATCCTCTGATGCGGAAGATACCGGACTTCCTGTATAATCGAAAACAAACATGAATTTAACAAGGAAAACAACATTAAACTATTACATAATATGACAAAAAGCCATAAAATGCTTATATACGAAACATACGAAATTGAAAGAATGAAATACAAGAATAACCACCTAGAGAACCTTAACGACAAAACACAACTAAAACAAAGACCTTTATACAAAAACCTGAACTTTCCGTTTAAAGTTCTCTAAATCCTCCCAGTTACACGAGAGTTTTTATTTCGCCCGCAATGTTGAAGCTGCAATAACTAGAAACCCAGCGGACATCCCCATATCCCAATTCTACCCTTATCCATATTTCCCTTTATCCATTTACCTTCCATAATGTCTCCCCCTTCCATTAAACAAAATTTAAATTCATGTCTATTTATAAACATGACCTTGTACCTTCACGAACGTTTCCGTTGCATGATACGTCTATAACCTCAAATCTCGTCCCAATAAAATGAACATCGTTCCCTTGATGTTATTAGTAGTGTAAATTTAAATTGAAGTTCAATATTTCAACAATAAGATAATTACTCCAAAATAATAATAATAAAAAAAAAACCAAATCCTCCCCAACCATATTAACATTGTAAGTAATAAATATGTTTAGTTACACTTAACCTCTCTTTTCAAAATTTGATTTCTTAAAAAAAATTTAATATCTTTAATTTGAAATTTGTTATTTGTTAGAAGCCTTCTGATGATGGCCTAATAAGCCGAAACATGTAAAGGAAATATTTTAAATAATACATCGATTAACAGTAAAATAGAAAGTAATATTTATTCAATTTACCTTAAATAATATCGATGAAAATGGATATACAGGGTGTATCTGAATGACTGCAACAAACATCAAGTTTTTTTATAGTACGTTTAAAAATATTAATGACGTGTTTTTTCTTATTTGCCTCTGACCATCCCCTGCAAAATTACGGGGTATGATAGATAACCCCTTTCCTTAAGAATAATGTGATAAACTGTAACACTTTTGAACAACATTTTGAAGAAAGCCATAAATTAGTTGTAAATTAAGATTTACGCAGTAAAATAAACCCTATACGACATTAAGGGGTGGCTGGGGTTAACTACCCTAACCATCCCAAAAATTATTTTTTTTGCGAAAATTGTTTGTCGATTTTGGTGCAATTTCCCACGATGATTTTTAGGCGTATTTAAAAACATTAATAAATCGTGGAGAAGACAACTGGTTATGCATTAAGGATTGCAATTTTAAAATATTATCTCGCCGATGCAAATTGACATCGTACTGATAGAGAATAACTTGATCAGAAAATCTTCCAATGAAATTTTTCCATATTCTAAAACCAAATACATCCAGGGGTTGAATTTGACCTGTTGTCCCTGCAGGTATAGACAAATATTTAAACTTAACATCCGATGGAGTTACTTCACTAATAATTTCAGGGCAGTGGCCACTCCAAGAATCTAGCAATAGTAATGATTTAGGTCCGGTGTTTGGGAAATAGACATTTTGTAGCCAATTTTTCATATGAGCAGAAGTCAGTTTACCAGACTTTGATGCCAAATCGAATATGTTATCTGCTTTGAACATTGTATTTATTACCCTCGGTCCAAACGTACCAGAGGATTCTTTTAAAACAATGAAAAGAGGGAGAAAGTAGCTTTCCATTTGCAGATATGATGGGTTGAATTGTGTAGCTATGTATTGTCGATAACACCGACTGGACCACGCTTTCCACGGTTTTAACCTCTAAATCGGTTAAGGTTCTTCCTGAATGGAATTCCAAATTAAAACCACTCTGATCAGAGTTATAGGTATTCTCAGGTCCGTATATTTGGATTTGTTGTTTTGCTTCTTTGACAATACATTAAATAAAAATAAATTAAAAAAAAACTAAACTAACAATGTAGAATACAATTTGTGATACTTAACCATTTTTTTTCAGTTGCTTTTTAACTCATTATTAGTAAATATTTATATACTATTTATCCTAACTTTTGTGTTAATGAAATAGAATAAGGATAAAAACATTTTTCTGTAGGAGTATGAAAGTTATTAGCGAAAATCTAAAATTCTTACTAGTACTACCTAACGTATAAAAAAATCATCGTGGTAAATTGCACCAAAATCGACAAACAATTTTCGCAAAAAAAAAGTTTTGGGGTGGTTAGGGTAGTTAACCCCAGCCACACCTTAATGTCGTATAGGGTTTATTTTACTGCGTAAATCTTAATTTACATCTAATTAATGGTTTTCTTCAAAATATTGTTCAAAACTGTAACAGTTTATCACATTATTCTTAAGAAAAGGGGTTATCTATCATACCCCGTAACTTTGCAGGGGATGGTCAGAGGCAAATAAGAAAAAACACGTCATTAATATTTTTAAACGTACTATAAGGACACATAATATCGCCAAAATCGACAGGGTAGTTTTTAAAATATTCCAAAAAACTAGGGGTAGTTTACCCCCTGAAGCCCTCAGATATATGTGTGATATATCAATGGAAAGCTCTTTGAAAATGAATATCAGTTTACATTTACCACATTTCGATAGCTATTTTCGTTTTCAGCCTATAAGCGAATATATATATTTCGCCCCGATTTCCAACCCTTATAACTCGCCCCAGGGGCTTTATTAGCACGTATAAAAAAATACGTAAACCTTATTTTTGGCCATACTATCGCTGTACCAAATTTCAACAAAATCGGTGAGGGACAGTTCTGATACTTCCCTTGTAAGACTTTTTCATTAAAAATTCATTCCAACTTTTGATCGACAACCTCGTTGTTTAACGGGCAGTGTTTGCTTTATTATTTTTTTTCTCAAAAATTAGTCGTTTCTCGAAAAATTTTAGAGAGACAAAAAAGTTTTAAAATTTTTCTAATGTATTTATCATCCCAGGGGGGGCGAAGTCGCCCATGGATCATACATGAAAGTACCCTTAAAATTCACTAAACAATCACCCCTTGAAGTTTGTTGCAGTCATTCAGATACACCCTGTATATAATAATTTTAAAATAATAGTAGTTCGCCCCATATGTGTGATACATCTAAAGAAAACTTTTTAAAAATGAATATTAGTATAAATTTGCCAAATTTTTATAGCAGTTTTCATTTTCAAAATATAAGCGGAAACATAGTTTTCCTCTAACTTTCAACCGTTAAAACTCGCGTCTGGACCCTTTTTTGGACCATTCTATAACTAAATTACCAAATTTCAGCAAACTTTTGACGTATTATCAATTATTTTGATGAATCGCTTATGCAATTTATTGTTCACAGAACATATCTGTTTCAATTGTAAAGTATTGGAAAGAATGGAAGCCAACATTTAGACATAGGTATTAACTAATATTACGGTTTCTTCACTTTTATGACAACAAGGATCAAGTCATGACCGATTTGGGAAAATTACAATTATATTTGTAGCAAATCATCTACAAAAAGTTTCAAATTATGTTCATTCTTCGAAAGTCACTCAATCTTACAAAAAAAGCAGTACTACAGTTATATGTCCCCAAATTGTGGAAGTATTAATGAGCTCAAAGCCACATGAACCTACTTCCTATACCACTACTTCCCGTCCTCTTAAATCTTTTTAAGAAATTTTGTCGAATTGTCAAATAATCAATTTTATGTGTCGACCGTGAAGCTATGAAGAAAAAGCATTGTTTCTATGAATTGTGCAAATATGTGTATGAAATCTATTTAACATCAGATTCCCTATAAATTAGGAAACTTACTATATCAAACTCAAATCGTAAATACATTTTGTTGACAGCGGTGAGTGAAAACTAGACACACGTCTTAACCCGTAAGTTTCTAGTTCTAGTAGACAGCGCGAAACCCTACCGATTTTAGACGAGTTTTTTACAGCCCCGGATCTGGGGGGCGGATCTGAACTTGCCACCCTATGCCCCGGGTGGCAAGTTCAGAGGGCGGCCAAATTCACACTTTGCAGACGAATGGACAACGCATCATTTACTCAACTTTGACCACGGAATAAATAATTGTACAAGTACAGAGCGGATCCCACGAAACTCCTAGCGATCTCATCACACAATGTCCTGAGCCTAGTCAAGGTAACTTCTTGAACTTAACTTCCCTGCTCGCCAAACATAATTCAACTCTTAAGTTTCAATTAGAACACTTAAAAAAGGGACAAGTATCATATTTATCAAAGACAATACAGCATGAAATAATTAATATAATGGCAAAAACAGTTAGAAATGCTATACGATAATGTTCGACTGCACTCCAGATGTATCTCATACAGAACAAAGGAGACAGGTAATTCGATATGTAAAAAGAACTGGCGATGTGTGTGAAATAAAAGAAAGTTACATTGATTTCATAGAAATTGCTGGAAAGACAAGAGAGGATATTTGTCAATAGATTTTAGAAAAATTGGCAGTTGATGATTTAGATATTAGACAATGTCGTGCCCAATCTTATGATAATGGGTCTAATATGGCCGGCATCCATAAAGGAGTACAAGCCAGGATTGCAGAAAGGAATGAACTGGCCAAGTTCGTACCGTGCTTGCCTCAGTCCATAAATCTTGTAGGTGTTCATTCGGCCTCATCATGCCAGGAAGCTATTAACCTATTTGGACTGATTCAAAAAGTATATTGCTTTTCTGTTGGCTCCACTACTAGCTGGGACATTATGAAAAAATACGTTAAAACAAATTTAAAAGGAAGTAGTCAGACGAGATGGTCGGCAAAACATGTTGCTGTGAATGTCCCATTAAATAATTTGCCAGAAATAGCGGAAGCCCTAGAAGAAGTTAAGCAAACTTCTCATGCTCCAGAAGCTAAGTACGAGGCAGGTCATCTCTTAACTACTATAAAGGATTTTAAATTTATTCTTAATTTAACTATTTGGGCGAATATTCTCCGCGAAATCAATCGAGTGAATATAGAAATTCAGAAAGAAGATATTATCCTTGCCCGTTCCGTCGCACTAAAGGATGGTCTGCTGAAAACTTTGCAAAAAATGAGACAAAATCTAATGGAATATTGGATAAAAGAGGCTGGAGAAGTTGCTGAAAAAAGTGGTGTTGACCCTATTTTGCAAAATAAACGAATTCCGAAACGTAAAAAACATTTCGATGAGATGTGTGAAGACGAATTACAAACACTTCAACCTATTCAACTATTTTCTAAAGAAATAATGATGGTATTTGATCGAATCATATCAGAAATTAAAAAGAGGTTTGATTGTGCTACCATGCTAAATTTGAATTTTGCTTTTCTTAATGGTACTAATATTTTGAAAATGTCAATTGAAGAACTGCAAAAGTATGGAGCAGATCTGGCTCGAAAATACGAGCGAAATTTAAGCGCCGTTGAATTCTGTCAGGAATTCTACGTTTTTAAAGAGCAAGCTCCGCTTTTATTTGGTGATATACACAAGGCTAACGGTTTCTATCTCTTGCAACAAATCTATGCGCATGATTTGCAGGATGCTTTTCCTAATATTTGTATTGCCCTGCGAATTTACTCTACGCTTCCTACTACATCCGCAAGCTGTGAGCGAAGTTTTAGCAAACTAAAACTAATTAAAAATTATTTGCGATCTTCTATGTGCCAGGAACGCTTATCGAGTCTTGCAATCTTAGTGATAGAAAATCGAATTGCACACGAGTTAAACCATGACAAGGCCAAAGATTTATTTGCTGAGCAAAAAGCTCGAAGAGTAAAATTGTAATTTCAATTTACAAATGCAATAATACATTTGTTTTTTATTTTTATTATACATATTTTTATTTTAAATCCTATCCTGTGCTGTGTATAAAATATATATCCTACACGTTCATGTCTATATCTGTAAATAAATCGGGTTAACACAGAAAGAACAGCGATGCATTATTTCCGAAAGGCCTATGTAGGCTATGTGCAAATGTCAATCAATTAGTGGACATCTGATAGCTGAAATTATATAGATGATAAAGGTAAAAATAAATATAAGTGGGCGGGGGCGGCATTTTTTAGTTTTTGCCCGGCTTAAAAAAAAAGAAGATCCGCGGCTGGTTTTATACGACATGTTTGAAAAGAAAAATTTTGATAAAAATGGTAAAATGAATATAAGATCTTTGTTGTTTACAGACTAATTTACATAGAACCTAGCTGTCATCCCAATCAATCATATAATCATGTGTTTCCAAACACAAATATAATTTAAATACCATTTATTAAAATTAGTTACTTTAAAAAAAATTGTATGTAATCTGAGAGAAAAGAAAAATTTTTTGTACATGAGTAGGTATCGATTAAAATATTATAATATTATTATTACATAAGAATTATTTCACGCTCGTGGAGATAACATCATAAACATTAATATACTTGGTCTGGTTAGTCAACAATTATATACACATTGCAGTTACGAAATCTCAAAAAAGAAAATTATTTATCTAAGGTGAGATAAAGGTTTTTTTAACGATGCAATTCTCACTTCACTTTTGCGGTTAAGTTGCAGTTAGTTATAATATGTTGTGATAAGTGGCATAGGACACCGTTTTTTTTTACTTGTTTAACTGTATTAATTATTAGATATTAATAGTATGAAAAGTTAAAATTTAATATAATTATTATTAGTTGAAATACCATGAAAATGAAATCATCAATAAGACAATTACAGACAATACTTTGGGAGCATTGTAAAATACGAAAACGACACTACGTATTAACATTGTTGGAGATCTGTCTTCCGATCATTATATTTCTTTTGGTGGCAATTATACGAAGCAAACACACTTCGTTCAACAAAGACTACATTCCTACTAGCCCCCCTTACGAGACAATGGATTCTGAACTATCATCTTTTATAAAAGTTGAAGATACCAAACTCTGGTATTCCCCTCAAACGGAGTTTACTTCTGACTTGACGAGAGAAATTCAATTAAAACTCAACCTGTATAATGAAGGTGTAAAAGGGTTTGATAGCTATAAGGATGTTATTAGGTACTATAAAGACAGTGGAGATAATGGGACCATAGTTTATATTAATTTTGGTGATGTTGGGGATGAAATTCCAACAAAATTAAAATACGATATACAAATGTACGCAGAAGGTGTCGACTGGCAAACCGACAAATTATTTAGATATGATTTAGTTTATCAGCCAGAAGCAGGTAGGATTAAAATGTATTAAAACTAAGAAATTGTAATTATTACATTTTATTTATTTTATGCTTTAGGATCACAACAATATTTAGAAAGTCAATTTCTAATATTCCAATGGGCGTTGGATACATGTTACTTAGAAATGATTACCGAATCACCTTTAGACATTTCTATGAGTTTTACAGAATTTCCGTATCCACCACATTGGTTTGATAATGGCATGAACGATATGTTTGTTCACATTTTACCACTATTAACAATGTTAAGTTTTATTTTTTTGATCCCGGCTATTTTAAGAATCGTTATTATTGAGAAAAAAACAAGAATGAAGGTAAATTTTATAAAGAGAGGATTCCGAAACAAAAATTAAGTCGATATAAACGTTTTCTTGGATTCGAAAGATTATTATACAGGGTTCTTCAGGTTTTTGTAGCAGGACTTTAACAGTCGCTAGATCTTTTAATATTAGTACAAAAACTTCATATAAACATAGGTCGACAAACGCTTTGTTTTAAAGATATAGGGTGTTATTGATATAGGGGTTGTAAATTTTTTATTTGATTTTTATTTAATATTACACGTGTATTTCAACGGATTCTATAGATATAATAATGTTTGCCATTGAAACAAAGTAGGTAAGTTCACTAATGTTTTAGTTTATTGTATCAAGGGTCAAATCACTAGTAGTTGTTGATCAGTGTTAAATTAATTTTTCTTATTCATTAACGTTAATTTCTTGTTTATTAACGTGCTAAATTCATTACTCTTTTTCCTAATCGTGTTAAATTTTTTTTTTTTTCATAATTTAATTTTTTGTTTGCTGCATAAAAACTTTATAAAATGCCGTTTATTTTTCCTAACCAAGAGTTAGCGGATATTCATTTTGTTTATGGGTTTGCAAACGGATATTCAACAGTAGTAGTCGTAGAGTATAGGAGAAGATATCTGCATCTTTCTGTGTTTGTGAAAGTGCATAAACAAATAGTTCAAAAAGAGCTAAATAATGATGGGTAGATCGTAATAATAACAATGTTGGACTGCAAAGAAACTTTAGAAGAAGAATTTTGCGTGAGTTTGCCAGAGACCTCACTACGAGTGTTAGAAGAGTTTCGAATGCCTTACGAATTTCTAGGACGCGTGTTTATCGCCTTTAAAACATGACCATAGACATGCTTATCATTTACAACCCTTGCAAGAATTGCAACCAGGCGATGAAGAACGGCTAACAGCGTTTTGTCGATGGATTGCTAAAGTATCAGCCAACAATTAAGATTTTTTAAATAATGTAATGTGGAACGATGAATCGTGTTTCACAAGACGTGGGATTGTAAACTTTCACAATTTACCTGTTTTTGTATCCCTACGCAATGCTGAATCCCCGTATCCCTACGCATTCAACTTGATGATTGTGCAGCTTATCATGGTAGGGTGGTAAGAAATTGGCTAGACAACCATTTTCCTTCAAGATGGATTGGTCGTGGTGGACTAGTCGCATGGCCCCACGATCTGCAGATCTTAATGCTTTAGACTTTTTTGTGTGGAGATATTTGAAAGGAAATTAATTATGCAAGGAAAATTTTTACATTTTCAACAATTTCTTTAATTTTTTTCTTTTATTATTTAGATTAAAAAACATTAATAAACTAAAACATTAGTTAATTTACCTACATTGTTTCCATGTCACACATTATTTTAACTACCTTTAACTATCCCCTAAAAACATTGGTCTGTATCGAATAATAAAAAGCGAATTATTTTGAAAACTTTAGCACATTTTGATAAGAGTACCCTTTTTGCTTAAAAAGTGCAGAGAATAAGAATTTTTATTCAAAAAGCCAAAAATTATACTGTCAGAAAAGTTATTGTTATTTTAATCCGTCAATAGTCCGGCTATAGTACAACGGCCTTCGTATACCAAATTTGAAAAAAATCGGTTGAAATACACGTGTAATATTAAATTAAAATCAATTTAGAAATTTAATTTGAACACCCTGTATCTCGAAAACGCGTTTGTCGACTTAAGTTTTTGTGTTAATTTTAAAAGATCTATCGACTGTTCAAGTCCTGCTACAAAAACCTGAAACACCTGTACAAAATAATACCAGACCTCGATTTAATTTAATTATTAACAAATTATTTTAATTTCTTACAATTACATATTAATATAGGTAATATGTTTTAGCAACTTATGACAATCAATGGTTTAAAATCTTGGATATATTGGCTAGGATGGTTTCTCAACGCTTGCGTTCCATGTCTAATATCTACAGTTGCAATATCGATTTTATTAACACAACGTCTTTTTAATGCTGAATATGCCCCACTTCAACACGTATCATTTCTTGAACTTTTTTTATTCATATTTTTATACTGCGCAGCTACCATTACTTTTATATTTGCCTTGAGCAACTTTTTCAAAATTGGTAAGTTAATCTGTCTTTATTGTATCTGTTCATTGATTTATGATCTTTGTTTGTCTGCAGCTATTTTAGCAATGATTGCCGGTATATCAATTCGGTTCCTTGTTTATTTTATTTACTCCAGTACAGTCAGGAATGTGAATATCATGCCTCTTGGATTGAAATTGTTAGCTTCTTTAATACCCACAATCGCTTTATATAATGGATTTCAAGTGATATCTGTGGCGGAAATTAGAGGATCGTCCGTTGGATTTACTGAATACCCCCGAGCAAGTTCTGATGATATGACAATGCAAATGACTTTTATAATGTTGTTGCTAGATGGCATACTTTATTTAACAATTGCTGTATGTTGCGATACCGATTATAAAGGAAAATATAAAATCTCTACTTTTCTTTCAAAATGTATATCTTTGTTCCGAAGTAGCAATAATCGAGATAATTTGATCAATGTGGAATTAGAACCAATAGTTTCTCATGAAAAGGATCATGAAGTTGTGCTGGAGATAAAAGACATAACAAAAACATATGGCAATATAGTTGCTCTCAACAAATTAAACATGCAGATTTATAAGAATAATTTGACTGTTATTCTCGGTAATAACGGGGCGGGCAAATCTACATTACTATCGATATTGGCAGGACTAGACACGCAAACAAGTGGAAAAGTGACAATGAAATCAATGAAAGATATTAACTTAAAAGACAGGCACCTTATATCAATTTGCCCACAAGAAGATATGTTGCTTCCCGAGTTATCCGTTGAAGAACATCTTGTATTTTTTGGAAAGGTAAAAGTGAAACTTAATAACATTTTATATTATACAGAATGTTCAGAAATTGGCGGATAATCTACACGTAGCGACATTCTACGACCGATTCTGAATCGAAAATCTTAATATCAAAATGTTGATCTACTATGTTGAAAAATGTCTTTTTCATGATGATATGATAATGAAAAAATGTTAAAAACGAACTTTAAAGTGAAACAAAATAACTTTAACAAAAAAACTGGTTTTCAAAACTTTTTTTTCCAAATTTCAACTTATTTATCAACAGATATCGAATACTTATGATTATTTATGGATAAATTATCCGACCTTTGAGAACCTCATGAAGACGTATGAAGCATGGTGAACGAAGAATGTCTCTACGCGATGAT